TTGTACACGAGGGTCTCTACTGCAATTTTTTGGATTTTTTCGTCTCTCATTTTTTATTTTTTTTTTATTTTTTTTTATTTTACCGTCCCCCATTTTCCCGCTTTCGAAACGCGTTCTCCGATTGTTCGTTTGTACAAGATCAAATTCGGTTTATGTAAATAGACACAGATAATCTCGCGGAGTGGAAGCGTTTATGATACCTTTGCCACATTCGTGCGCACATATGCGTCTCTCTCTCTCTCTCTCTCTATTTCTCTCCGCCCGTAGTTCCGACCGTAGTTACGCCATCGGAACGCGCGAGTCGAGTTTCGTCTCGCGACGTCTCGCAACGCGCTTATTTCGGACGATGGCTGATATTACGCCCTTGGAAATTGTGGTTCCCCTCACACAATCGACGGGAACACACACCGACTTCGCCGTGTGCAATCAGCCGTAATCACTCGGGCCGCGCGTTACACGGCGCGCACTTCTCTTCGCGTACAACCGACGGCGGTGGCGGCGGCGGCGGCAAAAATTGCACGGCCGTCGTCGAAAATATCGAACGACTTTCGCATCGCTCTCTTCGCAGTTTCTTCCCTATTCCGATAATGACTACTTTGTAATCAGGCACCGGTGGCTTTTTGCATCTCCATCTCTCTTTCTCTCTCTCGTGCGCGGGACGCAAGTTCTTTTCGAACTCGCCTGTTTCGCCGCTGAAGAACAAGAGGAAACTTCCCTTCTTTTTTTTCTCTCTCTCTCTTTTTGTATCGAGGGAGAGTAGCGAAAAAAAATGCAAGCGCATTCAACACGCGCGCGTATCCTCGCGAGAGAGGCGCATAATGCGCTTTATTGTCCGCGATGCTACCTCCTGCACGTGCGTGTACGGGGCTCTTCTCGCCCTCTTACCGCGCGCGCACAGAAGAATAATCGCGGAATAAAAGCGCATAACGGCCGCCGCCGTTGCGGATGAAAGAGGACGAAAGAAAGAAGAACGAAGAAATTTTGTTCAAATATTCAATCGTGTGCCGGTGAAAAAAAAACAAAAAACAAAAATCGTTACCGCTTCCCGTTACTGCCGTTCGTTAAATTAAGGAAATTAGCCACTCGTGCGGGTACTTTCTATGCGAATTGCTCCAAACATCTCATACTCCCTTTCTCGATGATCGATCGGGCGACGACGCTTCTCTCTCTCTATCTCTCTCTCTCTCTCTCTCTCTCTCTCTCTCTCTCTCTCTCTCTCTCTCTCGCTTTCGATCGATCGTGCGTCATAATCGCGCGTCTACCTGCCTCCGGTCGCAAGAACGAGCTTTGATTAAAGGCGGCGCTGAATTGATCACGCGTAACGACGCGAGAGCGCTCGCGTCGTGACTGACTTTGATGAGACAATTTGAATAATAGCGATGGCTCTTGACTTGGGAAAAAGTGTCAACCTCCAATCTCGTTGCATCGAGAATCCTCTCTCGAGTGGCTTCTCGAGATCGAATTCACGTCGTCACCGAGGGGAGAAAGAACGGGAAAGAACTTACACGGAAGGGAGGGAAAGGGAGAGTTATCATCGCGCCCGCGTGTTCACTCGTTTTCGGTGAATTGCCGTCGCGGCAAGGACGAGGAGTCGTCGTTGTCGTTGTCGTCGTCATCGACCGCACAATTAGCGTTAATCCTCGTTAATCCGCGTCTCTTCAATCTGCATTCCTTTGTCGGTCCTTCCTGTTCGACTACACAAGAGAGAGAGAGAGAGAGAGAGAGAGAACATCACCGTAAATGGAAATCGTATATATGAGAAGAATCGAATGCGCCCACACGGCGCCAACGACACTTCGGGAATGAAAGGTCGAAGGAGAAAAGGAGTAGGGAATAAGGGAGTTAAGTTTATCTCGCGAGTCTGGCCGTTAATACTTCAGTTTCACGTATTTACGACGCCGATCAATATCCTATTCCTATCTCGCTCTGTGCCGGAAGCGACCTAGATCCCGCGCTCAAACTAGGCAACAGTTTAAGGGTCTCGTGTGTGCCGGCAAGGAGAATATGTGACAAGTCTTGTCGCTCGGGTCACGATAAACACACAGCGTAACGAAGTGCAGGCACTTTGCGCGCACAGCGTCTGTTGTTAACGCTGGCGCGCTCCTAAAACTTGTCCTCGTCAGTTTATGTCTCCCCGGTAATTTGCACAGTTATATTACATTATTCAAATACCGATATGAATCTAAAATGCGCGCGCGCGCGCGCGTGCGCGCGACTGTTATTCTTTTTTTCACGCCTCGCCTCGTTCTTTCGCTTTGCGTTTTCACTTTTGCGTTTTTTTGAAAAATTGCGCGAAAAAAACGCGCGCGCGATTTCAACAGACCGGAACGCGTCGTCACTTATCGAATCGTCTAAAAAGACGAGCTCGCACAGTTTTGTTCAGTCAAATGGTTCCATTGGCACATGTCGTTGGCTCGTAACCAGAACCCAATGATCGATCTCTATTTTGTATCGGCCGGCAATCGGATATTGGCCGGCGAACGTAACGAAAAAGAGGAAGGCGTCGACCAAGGCAGCAAATAGCAGATAGTAAGCAAGAGATATAGCGGCGGGTGTGGTAATGCTTCATCAAGTCCCGTAAATAATATTTGAAATCGATGCTATCTGCGGCTTTACGGAACTTTCGTGCAAGCCTTAGTTTATACATGCTGACACAACGCGCGCGCGCTATTGTCGACGAATTGATGATGTATCGACAATTGGGGGACGTCCTCAAATCGAGAAATGACAAACCGCGAAAGTATACGCGAAAGTGCGAAAGTGTGCGACAACACATGTGACGAGAGAGAGAGAGAGACAAGAAGCGCAAAACTCCCAAGCGTACTACTTTCATCGTTGCACACTTGTCGCGCTCACGTTGCCGCCGTAATCTGCGCCGAGCCCTAGGCCCATTGTTTGTCATCCAATTTTTCCGCTGGATTTCCATCACGAACAATAGGCAAGCGGCGCTTTATAAGTCGCGCGAATTACACGAGCGAACGCAGCTCGTAAATATAGTCGGTGAATTGTGAAAAAGCATCGCGCGCTCGACCTCTTCTCTCTTTCTCTCTGTCTCTCTCTCTCTCTGTCTCTCTCTCTCTTTGTGTGTGCGAAACGATGCTTCTCTCACCTCACGGTTCCTCAACGAGTTGATGCATTTCACTCTCTCTCTCTCTTTGCTCGGTAAATCGGGCAAAATTTATTGTCAAAACACTTAAATAAGGAAAAATAGCAGGCTCTTTAGCGGGACAACAACTCGTAAAACTGGATTAATAGAACTGTGACGCGGAAAAAAAAGGAAGAGATAGAGAGAGAGAGAGAGAGAGAGAGAGAGAAAGAAAGCGCAGTTCGTTGTATTTATTAATTATTGTCGGTTCTCCAAAATAAGAAAGCTTCATTATTCGTAGTATCTATATTCTCCTTCCGCTGTTATTACGGCGGACACCTCACAAACAAACAATTTGCATCTTGTTAGCAGAAGCACGTTGATATTTATATATATATTGCGCACAGTTTTGTCTTAATTGAATAAAAAAAAAAAAAAAATCTCTCTTTTCACAAACGTGAGTTGCACTCATTTAAATCTCACGGTCGAAATCCGACATTCTATCACAATCTAATATTATTACGTTTATTTTTATTTTTATTTTTTTATTTTTTTGATGTTTTTTTTTTTTTTTTTTTTTATCGCCTCCGACAGACTTTGTCTCTTGCTTGTTACTTCGCGCGTCTTTCCGCACGAATCGTCTTTATCGGGATCGGCGACGACCTCTGCGCCAGCGAGACACAGAAGGTATGGTAGTGTAGCAACTACGTGCAACCATCTGCGCGCGCGAGACGAGAAAGTAACACGAAGTCGCGGCCGAACGCTCGTAAATCAGCGGAATTTCGTTCGTGAGCGTTCCGGGACGAATTTTATGATTTAATCCGGTGGATGCGTGAAGGGGCTGCGGTCGCGAAACGGACGCGATGGAAACATCGCGTTGCCGCGGCGTCGCTTGCCGCGCGCGCGGCCGTGCACTTCTGGAGATGAATTTTTTTTTCCGCGCGCGCGTTATCTCGCCATAGTAAACCGCGGGACAGAAAAAACCACTGCGGGTTTCCGGGAGTGTAACGGGGGTAGGGGGGGGGGGAAGAGTTCGCCTCAACCCTCGCTTGTGTTTCGAATTTCTGCGTCGTCGAATCATCATCATCCCCCGCGGTGTCGCGGCGCGCACATTGTGTGCTTTTCCGCGCGCCGCGGTTATCAGCGGCCCGTTGTATCGCGATAAGGCGGAATAAAACACCGATTAGGATCTGCATTGGAAATTTAATTAACGCGAGCCGAGCCACCGGCTTTCCTGTAAATTGCGTTTTATTATATCGGAAATCGATTTTTTCCAACCTCTGGCTCGCGCCAGACTCTCTCTCTTCCTCTCTCTCTCTCTCTCTCTCTTTCCTTCCGTTGTGTAGCAATTTGCGTTCGCCATTTAACACGTGCCGTTCCGCCGGAAACAGATATTTGCTGGCGCGACGTTATATTGTCTAGTTAGCGGATAAATACGCAATGAGCGCCGACTTTAGCTTCACGGGCGGTCCCCCCCCCCCGCGTACGGAAATTAATTTACCGCGCGTCTCTTAACCGCGGCGAAGATCGCAACGCGATGCGCATAACGCAATTAGCTCGAGCTAATTTTTTTTTTATCGCGAGCTAAGTTTATTAAGTTTGGCTGACGTCGTCGTAAAGAAACAACGTATCACACCGGGCGATTACCTTGAACGGGAATTACATCGGGAAGCGAGAGGAGAGGTGAGATTTCGCGCCAATGAGAATCAAATCGGCGAAGTTCGCGTGACGAACTTGAGAAGACTCCCTCGGAAGACCCCCCTCCTGAGCGAAAGGTTTCTCGCGATTCGGTAAATCGGCAAATCGAATTAAGCTCTCAGCAGGCACGCTATCCTCGGGATCTGAGCGATGAAATCTGTCGCGAGCGTATAAAAGACGGCAATGTGGGCGCGGCCGGACAAGTGAGTTGCGGAACGTGCGTCTCATCCCCATCGCGCCGCGTCTCACTTCAATCTAGGAAAAATCTCTTTCTCGTTAACGCACGACGATCATCGACGACGCGCGCGTGCGGTTGATCGGTCAGTCGGAAAGAGATAACGGTATCCCTAATCCGTCTATATATCCTGGCAACCTCGAAGGATCGAATCGGCGAGCTCTCCCGGCGAGTTGTACCCGCTCGAACGGCGCATTGACCGCGTTTCTCCCATCATCAACACACAAACCGACTTGCGTCGAAGGATGTTGACGTACAACACGAGCGTGTACGCCGTGGCCGGGCCATTGGCTTTCTCCAGCAGAGTCGGGTAGGTGCGAGTTACCGTATATATTTCCCTAGCTCTCGCTTGCATCCTCGTAATCATCCGGTATTGTGGGCGGCTGTGAAGCGTCGCTTCGTGATGCGAAAGGGGATAATATCCGCGTCGAGAGGGGAGGATAAGAGTCGAGAGCCGGGAATGAGAGAGAGGCACGCCCGCGCGATCGCGTACGTACGTACGTACGTACGTACATGTTTGTACACACCCATAGGTGCGTTTTGCTCAGTGGATAAGATTGCGATGGGATCGGGCTTGCGAAAGCTCTTACGGTTTTCATCAAGAGAATGGGGGAGTAGGCTATCAAATCGCGCGCGAATTATGACGTTACACGGCCGCCGCGTCGATATCTCGATAGAAGAGAGAGCCGGGAGGAGGACTAATAATCACACTCGACGTCCCAATTAGCGCGCGGCCGGATTTAATCCACCGAACGCGTTTGCATGCGCGCGTTTCGCTCGGCTTTCATCGTCATTAATGCCGCGGCCGGTACGGAAAAAGCGCATCATTTTCCGCGATGATGAATGAGAAATCTCGTCTTTTTTTTTTCTCTCTCTCTCTCTCTCTCTCTCTTCTCTTCAAATGTAGCCGCCGGCAGCGATGATACGTACAACAGGCGGCGATGATAACAATGCTGGCGGTAATAACGTATAACATGTCGGAGTTGTACGTTGATGCGTGCACATGCGCTCGCGGATAAGAGAGAGAGAGAGAGAGAGATCCCGATCAATAATATCGTGTTCGCTCTGTGATAAGTTTAGATTGTATGCTCGATAATGTATATTGTTTCGTTCCTCTGCTCGATACGTCAAAACTTCTCGTGACGCGTTCACGGCCTCACTTCCCGATAGTATCATCGGAGGCGATTGTATCGAAGGAACGAAGAAATTTGCTCCGCGTAAATGGATCAAACGTCCATCTTCAAGCGTCGTCGTCGCGCGCGCGCCGCGATCGATGCATCGTCGTCGTCGGCGAAATTTGCCCTGCGCGGGGCTCGTCTTTCAATTCGGCTCCGAAGTCGCAAATTCTTATCGTCGAAAGGCGAAAGCTATTTGTCCCACAACCTGTTTTACATTTGCGATGTCGTGACGCGTCGTAATAATGTCGGTCACGAGAAGGAAGCGATAGAAATTACAATCCATGAGTCTCATGGAAATTGTTAGTCACCAAGTTTAATCTGTTCGGGAGAGAATATATCTCCGAGAATTTGGTTCTGCAATTCGGGATCAATAATTCGGAATAAATAATTGATTTAGCACCGGTGATTTTTTTAGAACTGAGAGATATATATAAATCACATTTGTCTCCCAAATTGTGTCAACAATAATTTTAGCATTTAATTTCTCGAAATCAAATCATTTTCTTTGAGAAATTTGTTCTGTCGAGAGAAACTGCATTTTAACATTAACTATCCAAACAAGCAAACTCTGGATTACAATCGTTCACAGACAATTTGTTCCGGTAAATATTTTTTACTATTTTTGTAAAAACACGGATAGATTGTATTTTTTTAATTTATTGTTATTTAGATTGGCTGAAGATGATCGTAAACAAAAACGAAACAAAAAAAAAAAAAAAAAAAAAACGATCAACAACATTTCCAATGAATTGAGAATATTTTTTTTCGCTTCTTGAATTAATAAAACCACGATGGACTGTAGCTTTTTACGTTTATTTTAATATCTATTAAATGTGAATTTAAACGAATATTTGCAATTATTCGGTTTGCGGATCGGAAAATTTTGCACGACTCGGAGAGCTCGGTGATCAAATGTATTATTAGCTCTATGTGAATTTTTTATTACAACAGGGAAGTGCCACAGCTGCAAGAACGATTTTTAGGATGGAACTTCCCCGCGGAGCACGCGGATCTCGTGCATCCGCATTGGCGCGGATTCGTCGCGCCCGGAAGACTGTGGCACATCGGCCTCGCGCTTATTTATCTCTTCCTCCTGGGTCTCTCTCTCATCGGGAACGGCATCGTCATTTGGATTTTCAGCACGTAAGTTGTCGTGTAACTTTAAGAAAATTCATTCCGCTAAACAGTACGAAGACGTACATGAATGTCGGTAATTACAAAAAGGATTAATCCAATTACAAACTGTCAAAAGTATAAAACAAACGACCAGCACAGAAGAGCGTCTATCTATTTTTTTTCTTTCAAGTTCTCCAAAGTATTCGAACATTTGATGAGATTGTCTTTGAAACTTTGATGATGAGGAGAGAAAATTAATTTTTGGCAGGATCAAAAATCGTGGCGCTGCTGCCATCTGTAGATTCGCAACAGAATTATCTCAGTTGCGTCACACCTCTCAAAATGCGCTTATCGTTCAATGACAAACTTGTATTTTTTAATGTTGATATGATTCCATTTATACCGATCTTCTTCGTCTTAATTACCGCGTTTTGTAAATAATGCGTTTCGAGATGTTAATTTTCAGATCAAAATCACTGAGGACGCCCTCGAACATATTCATCGTAAATCTGGCCGTGTTCGATCTACTGATGGCAACGGAGATGCCTATGTTGATCATAAACAGCTTCTTGGAGCGCACGATTGGTTGGGAAGCCGGATGCGACGTGTACGCTTTGCTTGGCGCGATTTCCGGAATGGGGCAGTCGATTACCAACGCTGCGATCGCTTTCGACCGATACAGGTTTAGAATTGATTACCAATCGTTGCTAATTATCGAACTCGAACCATTTTTGTTATCTATTAAACAATTGCAAAACCAATTATCGCGCTCGTTAAAACTTAACGACCTATTTGTTGTGCGTCTGTGAATGCACACCGATAATGTTACGGATGATGCGGAGAACTGAGCACAAAGAGTTTTACGATCTAATAAACGATTCTCTCGAAATTTGCGATTTGACCCGGCCAAATAACAATAACAATAGACTCTCGCAATCTATTGCACATTACACACATCCTGCTTGATATTTTAGAACAATTAGCTGTCCGATTGACGGTAGACTGACCGGAAAGCAAGCCGCGGTGGTAGTTCTGTTTACATGGTTTTGGGCACTGCCATTCTCGATTCTGCCCATGACGGGATTGTGGGGTCGATATGTGGCAGGTACGCAAAATATATATATTCTCTCTCTCTCTCTCTCTGTTTTATCATTTCGGAGATAAATGACATTTGCAACTTGTTTTGTAATTCCGAACGATTAATCGCAACAGTCATTTAAAATTTTTCCGTCGCGTAGCCGAGATTCGAAATATAAAAAGTTCCGTTAATTCGTTTCTTCGCGCTTCGTGTTTCCAAATACTTTTCAGAGGGTTTCCTCACAACGTGCAGTTTCGATTTTCTCACGGACGACGAGGACACCAAAACATTCGTGATCACGATATTCTTCTGGGCTTACGTTCTCCCGATGCTGCTCATCGTTTACTTCTATTCGCAGTTGTTGAAATCCATTCGATCCCACGAGAAGATGCTGCGCGATCAGGTAAGAGTTAAACAATTTTTTATTCGCACGAGTTTCTTATGAAATTCGCAATAATGGGGGGGGGAGTGAGATTTCATCATTCGATCTGTGACGTAGGCCAAGAAGATGAACGTCAAGTCGCTCGTGTCGAATCAGGACAAAGAGAGAAGCGTCGAGATGAGAATCGCAAAAGCCGCGTTCACGATCTTCTTCCTCTTCGTGCTCGCGTGGACGCCGTACGCGGTCGTCGCGTTGACGGGAGCCTATGGGAATCGGTGAAACAATTGTTTTCTCAAATATTTTTGATTAAAAAAAAAAAAAGTTTTCTTGAAATCTAAACGTTTATTCAATTTTCACGTTTCAGCGAAGTGCTCACTCCACTGTCGACGATGTTGCCAGCCATATTCGCCAAGACGGTGTCGTGTATCGATCCATGGATATACGCAATCAACCATCCTAGGTAAGCCGCACGCACCATTCTCAGTCGAGTATTTTGTTCATCTTAAAATAAAATTTGTTTCTCTAAGCAATCCAGCAGCAATTGGTTTTCAATTTTTTTGTTTTACTGCGCGAATCATTTTTTTTTTCTTCGCAATTACATTTAATGAAAAATGACTCGCATTCTGTTTCAGATATCGACAAGAATTAGAGAAACGCTGCAAATGGATGGGAATTCAGGAACAACGAGCGCACGACGACACCGCGTCGGCGCAGACCGAGAAGACGGAAGAATCGTAAAATTTTCATTTTACGTTCATGACGATTATCATTATCGATTGTTGATAATGGTTGCGTCGAGGAGACATCAATATGTCAATTGCATTTTCCACCACGAATGCAATTTGAACCCGATATCGCCTCCTCCGATTTATCGATTTACTTTTCCATCGATACTTCGAACGGAATCTTTCCCCGTTCCGTAGAAGAGAAGAGACTCGTGAATAAAACAGAATCGTCACGTGTTGTTTAGTTTACATACGTCAAGCTGTTACATAAATATAATCAGAGCAAATATGAAAGCAATTTTCCTCTTTTTTTTTTTATTTATTTTTTTTTTTTTTTTTATTTTCGTCATCTCCTCCAAACCCTTCCCATGCATATTCTCGATAATAAAGTCGATCCCGATGAAATTCAAATTTTTCTCTTCCTTCGTTTGTGCCTTCCGTTTTGTTTGACGTAGGCTACCAGAGATGGCGGAATATCGAAGCCCCGTCCCGTGCTGCCATCCCCTCGCACGTCTATCTACACGGCCTATTTTTTATTGATCGTTGATTAAAACTTAAATTGCATTTCGCAGATAATTGCATGTTCGTTTCGCTCTTATTAACATACTAATGGGAAAATCAACTTCCACACAATTCGAAACGTTTATTGAAATCAAAATACGCTTTTCCGAAAGCGACAATTTATATTTTCTTTGTTTCACTTTGATGCAAAATCGCTCATTTAAATTTATTATCGTTTCGCGTGTGACAAACGAAATAAATAAATTTGATAATTTCAATGTGCGTTTATCGTTGATCACACATATTTCGTGTATCTCATCGATATATGTTTCAACGTCCAAGTTGAGAAGGTGATGTTTCATCTTCGGAAAGACGGAATCACAATTGTAGAAAACGTTCCGCGTACGCGCGGACGTAGTTTTTAACGCGCGCGCAACCTCACTGACGACATCCAGAAGATCCCCGAGTCTAAGGATCATGCATCAGTCGTTTGAGACGGTGTAGATTTTCTATCTGTCCGCGGTCGAGAAGCGACTTATCTACCGGGGGTGAATAGAGTGGATAGAGATCTCTTTCTGTCCTCCGAGGAGAGAGTGGAGAAACATTGTCTTATCTCGGAACGAGGTCACGTGCCACCCGGAGCGCGGAGGAAGCTCGGGATAGAAAAGAAAGTCTGCGAGGTGAGTGCGGACGCGGCGAGAGCGGGCGGAAGAGAGGAGACGAGAGAAAGAGAGAGAGAGAGAGAGAGAAAAAAGGCTGCGAAGACAGCTTCGAAGAATACCACGGCACGTTCGCGTTTATGTGTTATCTTTTAGTCTAGGAAAAATATTGGCCTACAAATCAGCTCCGGCTGAGAAATTGCTTGTTCGTGAGAAAACCGAGAGCTTCTCTGGTAGTCATTGGTCGTCCAGATCTCTCGATCCCCGAGACAATCGAATTAGTTCTTAACAAGATTCGGATAATCGATGCGTAAATATACGCGAATCGCCGAGATCCTCTCTCACCATCACGCGGTGAGAATTCTCTTCCTCTCACAAATGCTTCGGAGCCTATATAAAGATATTCGTTCGTGAAAAACGAGCTTCGTTTTTTCTTACGCGCTAATAACGCGAGCGAGAGAGACGTATCCTTTTTTTTGTTTTTTTTTTTTTTTTTTTTTTTTTTGCAAAAAAGAACCTTTGGGCGCGCGCTTGTTACAGAAAATTGAGAGGATCTCCTTACTCTCTCGTTATCTCTATCTCCTTAACTTGTTCCGCGCACACAGATTTTCGTCTTTCTGCTGAAGAAAAGTGATATGCCGCAACGGTATAAATAGCGTCTGCGCGGAAAATCTCGATGGCGCTTCACATGTGTGTCACGAAACGTGTTCCCGGAATAAATTTCGCGGAACATACGGCCGTGCCGTGTTTCTTATCTTGCGTGATATGTCGTCTTCAGGCCTGTCGTCTCGCGGCGCGTGTTTCGCCTCGCTCGATTAGTTAATTGCTATTTTAAATATTTGTCGTAATCTCTTGTGCGTGTGTTTAAGTAATGTTAATTTTTTTTTTTCTGACAAATTTTTTCCGCACTTCAAGCGCGTTGAAAATTTACTTAGTAAAAAATCCGTCCGAGATCTCGGTTACAGTTTCTTTCTTGAAGGAAAGATCTCGGCACGGAGTTTGGTCGTCGGCTGTTTAAACGTTCAACTTTAAGAACACCGCCGCGGCGAATAAAGGACTCGGAGTTGATCTTCGGATATTTTTGTATCTTTTTTTGTTTTTTTTTTTTCGCGATTGTGTCCGAGAAGACGATCGCGGCGGAACAAAGGTAATGAATAACGCGCGACAGTGTGCTAACTTACTGTCCAACTTTCTTGCGCGAGCACAAGAAACATTGCTCCATGAATACGTATATACACGAAGCCGAGTCGGCCTCGTGAAATATGTACAAGTACCGAAGCGCAGCGAGAAGAACTTTTGAAATCTGACGGACGCGGAGACTAGAAAGAATCGCGCTCTTTCCTGAGGAGAACATTCGCCCTCCCTCCTCCGTGCCCGGGAGTAATATTTTTATTCCGCAAGAAAGAAACGCGTTCGGAACGACTTTTGCATGGAACGGAGACGAGGCTTCTCTTCCGCGACATAGATTAAGGTCGGACAACGCCGACCGTATTGTCTACTCAGTTCGCAACGAGATAATATTTAATCAACCAATTTTTTCTTATCGAATCTTTCCGAACCTGAGCAAATAATCTGCGCGATTTTGACCGAAAATTTGCGCTAATTGGAACATTAGGACAATTTCGGCTTTAATCCCGGTCAATCGGCGAGCGCTGTCGATAATTGTTTCCATCGTCGAGTATCCTAATCCATCAGGGAAGACAAGGTGATTACGTGCCCGGAGTCCGTTTGCCCCCTCCGTCGACGACGCTCCGGTCCGGGAAAGTTTTGTCCGTAGGTGTCTGTGAAACAGCAGTGAATCGTGAAACTGCTCGAACGAGGGTCATTGGACAGTAGACGGGCGTTTCACGAACAGCCCGGGCGGTTCGGTTAATATGCAGTTAGTACGTCATTTGTTTCTCGCCACCGGGCGGGCTTATCATAATCTCTGACGTTACGCGCGCGGCGTTACCCCCCTTGGATCTCCTCGGCTGTTATCACGCGGTAGCCGATAACGCGCCGGCCGCTCGACCAGCAGGCGTCCCGCGTATTCGTATTTCGATTCCTCGAGGATTCCGGAGACTCCGAATATCTCTAATCCCCGGAAGCAAATCGCTCTCCCTCTCTCTCTCTCTCTCTCTATCTATCTATCTCCGTCGATATTGTACGAAATGCTGAAAATGGCGAACGCATCGAGGTGAATTTATTCGCGTCGGGAAATTCGCCATAGGGAAAAGTCGCCGGAGCATTGACTAACGCAGTTAAGAGAGAAGTTTTCCCGAGAACGTCAGCGAACAAATGCGACTTTTGCATTCTTCTCTCTCTCTTTTTCTCTCTCTCTCTCTCTCTCTCTTTTGCTTGTTTTTTTTTCCTCTCCCGAACTATCGCGGGTTATTTTTTTTTTTTTTACGCGAAAGCGCGTTTGTCGTCGCCGCACCGAACCCGACGCAGTCTATCGGGAAATATATATGCGGGCCATTGAATGACAGGATTTCCAATCAGCAAAAATCCCATCGTGCTCGAGGCGGTTCTCGTGGCAGCCGTTGGCGACAATCCTCCGATATTCCGGGCATTCCTTTTTCGTCTTCGGCCCTTTCGACTTATGTACAATCAAAGTTTTCCGCGCCGAGTCTGTGCAACGACGACGACGACGACGACGACGACGAGGAGAACAACGACGACAGCAACGACAACGGCGCGAGGACAGCGACGGCGAACGTGGCACAAGAACAGAAGTAAGAAAAAGATGAAGCTCGGGAAGAAAGCACCGGAGCACAGGAGCGAGGAAGCGCGCCATAGAAAGAGAGAGAGAGAGAGAGTTCGGAGGAAGAGACTCAAGAGTCGAGGAAATCCTTGATTAAATGTTCGCGTCAAAGGAACTCTTCGCCCGCCGATAGTCGAAAAGAGAGAAAAAGAGAGAGAGAGCGAGATAGTGTAGAAAAGGTGGCGGCCACGTGACGTCCCGGCTCGGTCTGAGAAGACGAATTAAAAATAGTCTCCTGACTGTGAACGTCGTGGGATCGATTGCCGTTTTGTCTATCGCTGTGGATGAGAGAAAGAGGGAAAACAACACAGAGAGAGAGAAAGACGAGAGAAAAGGGGGAAAGAGCCGCGCGCGCGCGCCTTTCGGAATGGAATCATCTAACTCCCGTTCAAGATACGTCTCGTTCCGTCCTATTTCCTGAGGTCGCGCCGAGCGACGGCCAGTTATGGATGTTGAAAATTCAATTACGCGGGATTTATGGCTGCCGGCGCTGGGCATATTTATTATCGCACTATCCCCCTTCTGCAACTTCCGCTTATCCTCCGCTCCCATCCGCTCCCCGAGCCCCACCAATGACGTCCGTTTCCCATGACGCCGATGATTAAATAGAAATTCATCCGCAATGTTGGATAATCGATTCTCATTACACCGACGAGAAAAAAAAAAAAAAATATCGTTGAAACTGTCGCTTTGATGATAGGGTCTTTTACACAAAAAACTTGCACACACACGACGAGTTGCTAATATAGAAGTTTTATATATATTTAAGTTTCTGCAAAACAGAAAATATAAAAATATAAAAGTATCATATATTAACGTAATACTACAAACTTTTCTTCGAAGATCCGCGAGATTAGACTGAGTTTTTTTATTTTTCGTCTTCTCTCATCAAGAAAAAGGCACCTCTCGTTACGACGACGCGGGTTGATCTAGCGGGTAAAATGCACCTCTGCTCGCACGGACTAGTTCTTCGGACGGGGTCTCATCTTGTCTCTCTATTTTAACGACAATCTCCTCCAAGCCGAAGAATAGCTTGAAATTCAACGTTCTCAAGAAAAGAACACTGGACTCCGGTATGTCGAAGATGATGTTTCTCCCATTCTCGGAGGCCGCGACGTTTTCGGCTATGATTTGCCAGCTCAAAGTTCGTAGGCCCGAATTTTGCTTCTCGAGCAACGTCAGTATCTTCGACGTGGATGTGGATGGCGGTCCCGGGATCCAAGCGACGGCTTTGTAACGACGAAGCGCCTCAAGGCCCACCACTCTGAGCTTGGCGCCCTCCCACGGAGATATGTGACCGATCCGTTCGACGAGCCAGTTCAGGGATGGCTCGTCCGCGCAGGTGAGCACAACCGCGCCGTTCCTCAACATCGAATTTCCTCGAAATTTGGGCACGAAACCCTCCTGGATTCCTTGAATCTCCTTGCAGAACGTTTCTCGCAACATGGCCAGCCCCTCGGGAGTGATCATCTCTTCGGGATAGGCTTCCATCACGATTGCCCTCGTCAGAGGAACCGC